ACGCGCCGAACCGCCGACGCGCCCGCCGCCGCCGCCGCCCCTGCTGCACGTGCCTCAGTCGACGACTACTACACCACCAACCGCGAATTCTTCGGTTCCATCGGCCTCGACGACATACGCCTCCACCACGTCCACTCCCTCGCCGTGCCTCTCCCTCCGTCACTACGGCATCTCCTAGACGCCACTCTCACCTCCTTCGCTCGCCATATCTTGCTTGACCTCGACGGCGACGCCCCCGTCTTTGCATTGTATGCGCACCCACGACTGCTGCTCTTCCCACCCGCCTCCGACCTCCGGCGCGCACCGAACCGCCGCCACCCTCGCCTCACCCTCCCGCCCGAAATGCTCCGCCCTTCATTCGCCGCTGTGGTCTGCCGTCGTGCCACCGTTCCTTACCGTGCCGCTCCTTCCTCCGTGCCACCGAGGCTTCGACCACCGAGGCTTCGGCCACCGAGGCTTCTGCCACCGAGGCTTCGGCCACCGAGGCTTCGGCCAACGAGGCTTCGGCCAACGATATTATTGCTGCCGCCCCCCCTGCCGTCCGTTACCGCCGTGCCGCCGTACCGCCGCTCCTACAGTGCCGCGCCCGCCGCGCCGTATGTCCCGCCGTCCGATGTCCTGCCTGCCGCCTGCTGCCGCCGCGCCGCCTTACCGCCGACCCTTATCGTGCCGCGCCGCCTTTACACACACACCTTACTTTCTGCTCGACCGAGTTTGCGCTGATGAGCGAACCGAGCCGCCGGGTGCCCCGCAGCGGCCTCGCTGGGCCAGAACATCGGCCCCGAGTGCTCCGCAGCAGCCTTGCTGGGCCAGAACGTCGGCCCGCGAGGTGGGGTGCTAGTCTGGGACCCATACGTGGCAGTTCCCTTGCTCCAAGCGCTTGCGCTTCGGCGGTAGTGATCTGATCACCCGAATACCACGTTCGGATCGCTCCTCATCGCAAACCCTGTCAGCAGTTCACCTACGGGTATGTTCGTAAGAGCTACACTAGAGTGAGGCCCTTGACGGGCCCCGCCCCCAATGGGGCGGGGTTGAATGGGCTAGCGCTGGCGTGGCGTTGACATGAGCACAAAGTTGCTAATGTGCGTAGACGAACAAACACAGAGTAGGGTTGAAATCGTCCACGTAAGGCTTGGGAGTGCTTGGGGTGGCCTCAGGCATCCCCAAGGGAGTCGCAGCGGTGCCCCATAAGCAGCTTAGCGATTGTCGAACCTCGAAGCGCGTTCGTTTGAAGAAAGGCACACGGTACTATCGGGCCACCGGAGAGTCACCGGTAAACTTCGACACTTTGAGGGGTGAGAGCATGCATTATTGTGGCACATCATGTCCATAAGGTCGAGCTTGACCGCAGAAGCATCAAGAAGCGGATACTCCAGCTCGACTGTGCCGGCAAACTGCCTCCTCACGCCGGCCGGCTGCCAGCAGCCGTCGCGGCCCGTGGCGTGCTCCAGAGAGGGAGAGAGGTCGAGTCCGCATGGCTCAGGCCGGCCAGAAGGTGTGTGGCGACGGCACCGTGGCAGGAGTGCGGAGAAGAACTCGCCGAACGCGAGCAGCGGAAGGCCGAAGTGTGCCAGCGCGAGAGCCTCGCGAACGGGTGCAGAAGGAGCTCGCCGTGACACGATGCCGGGCGGTGGTGGTGCTCTGGCGGCTGTGCACAGTGGGAAAGGTCAGGCTGCAACAGCGTAGCACGATGGTAGTGCCCCGCTGCAGCCTGGCCTGACATGCACAGGGCGAACAGAGACCTTGCTATCGCCTGGCGCTCGTCTGGGCAAACTTTGACCGCCGCCCGGCTCGCCACGAGCACGCAGCGACAAAATGATGACCGTGTCGAAGTTGAGGCTGGTCGAGAGGAAGAGGCTGCCGTGCGAGCCGGCAACTGGCTGGCTCGGCGTGAACGGCCGGCGGCGACTTTTTGCCGAAGAGCGTGCCTGCCGAAGAGCGAGTCTGATTCAAAGTGCACGGAGTGGGTGCCGCCGACCGTCGGGAAGAGTCCGATGGGTGCCAGGAGGATCCAGAGAGCGATGAAGGCGCAAATTGCGCCGCCGAAAGCGGCGGTAGAGGCCAGGACGTGCGCGTGGGCCGGTCGGGCCACGTCCCGGGGCGAGCGATCGAGGGCCGCGGGGCTCGCCCCGCCGGCCGAGCGGTGCGAACGGCCGGTCGCCCGCTTCGGGTTGGACCCGCCGGGCGGTCCGGCGGCGGATGGCACGGCCGGGCGGGCCCCGGGAGGCAGGCGGGGCCGCGACAGGCGGCAGGGCAGAAAATCCCATTCGGAGAGCGTGTGGTCCGACCCCTCTGCTACTTTCAATGATAGGGATACACTGAAAATGTCCCAAAAAAGCGTGTGTCGAGTTGGTTGCAGCCCCACAGCTGGCGCGCGCTGCCAGGAAGCACCACTCGCGTGTCGGCCGCACTCCCTGGCACCCAGGGAGTGCGGCCGACCGACCAGACCGATTAGGCTCGACGCCGCGCTCGCTGTGGGGCTGCAACAAACTCGCCGCCGAGCGTGCCATCGAAGGCGTCCCGTCGGAGGTGATGGAGTGTGAGACCTGAGGCTGCGGAGGTGACGCCTGAGGTACCGGCCCGTGCACAGCGACTCAGCCGGCGACCGCCACGGGCTCAGGCGAGACTTGTCGACGCGTTCCGGCTCAGCTTCACCGTGGTCATTGGGCGTCTGTCGACGTCAGGACCACCCATACAGCTCGCGGGTTTGAGGTCGCAAGAGCCAAGATGGTGGCGTTTGGACATCCCAATCATCACACAAGACAGCCTGTAGGTGGTGGCGGGACGGCGCAGTGTCTGCGGCACTCGGCAGTAGGCACCCGCGGCACGGCCCCGCTGTCGGCTCTCGCGGGCTGCGGAACCGGCCCCAGAACGGGACGGTCCGGGCAAGTGTGGCAGCTCCTGCGCTAGTATGGGCACCCTCTATCATAGCACTACTGATCCTGGTCATTAGAGCTGCCAGGGATAGCGTCAGGAGCCGGTAGGAGTCAAAACCTCTCATATTTGAGACATCGTGGGGCCCATATACTCCCACAAAGTGCCAGGGAGAGGTGCCACTCACATGGACATGGGGGGTGGGGTTGGGGGGGGCGGT